AGTCAAAGGACACGAAAATCAACCTACAAAAACTAGCTGCATTTCTATACACAAACAACTATCCAAAAAGGAAATTAAGGGGAATTCCATGGCGGTCTGGTGGTTAGGAATCTGCACTCTCACTGCTGAAGGTCCAGGTTCAATCCTGAGTCAGGGAACTAGGATCCCACAAACCACATGGGTGGCCACAAACAAACCAACCAAAAGGAAATTAAGAAAATTCCATTTACAATAGTGTAAAAAAAAAAGAATATAATACTTAGGAATAAAATTAACCAAAATGGTGATAGACTTGTACACTAAAACCTAGAAAACACTGACTAAAGAAATAAAGACAGATGGAACAATGTCCCGTGTTCATGGAGAGGAAGAATTAATATTGTTAAAACGTCAGTATTTACCAAAGTGATCTATAGATTCAGTGTAATCCTTATCAAAATCCCAATGACATTTTTACAGGAATAGAAAAACAATCTTAAAAATTCATTTGGAACCATAAAAACCCCGAATAGCCAAAGCAATTCTGAGCAAGAAGAACAAAGCTGAAATGCTCCCTCATTTTAAAATGTATTACAAAGCTACTGTAATCAAAAACAGTATAGTACTAGCATAAAAACAGACAGACTATGAAAAAGAATAAAAGATACCAGAAATAAACCCTGGCATATATGTATGGTCAACTAATATTGGACAAGGGAGCCAAGAAGACTCAATGGGGAAAAGAGTCTCTTCAATAAATGGTGTGGGGAAAACTGGATATCCACATGTAAAAGAATAAAATTGGATTATCTCACACCATATACAAAAATCAACTCAAAATGGATCAAAGACTTAAATACAAACCCTGAAACAATAAGACTAAGAAAACGTAGGGAAAAAGCTTCTGACATTGAACTGTACAATGATTTCTTTGATATGGCATCAAAAGCACAGGCAACAAAAGCAAAACAAGACAAGTGGGACTACATAAAACTAAAAAGCTTCTGCACAGCAAAAGAAACCATCAAAATGAAAAGGCAACCTACGCAATAGGAGAAAATATTTGCAGACCATATATCTGACAAGGAGTTAATATTCAAATATATAAGGAACACCTATAATTCAATAGCCAAAAAAGTCCCCAAATAACTCGATTAAAAGATGGGCAAAGGACCTGAATAGATGTTTCTCCAAATAAGACATACAAATGGCCAACAGATGAATGAAAAGGAGCTCAATGTCACTAATCATCAGGGAAATGCAAATCAAAAGCATGAGATACCACCTCACGCCTGTTAGACCAGGGAACTTGATAGAAATGCCCAGCAATCCGTGTTGTAATAAATGTTGGCAAGGATGTGGAGAAAAGGGAACACTTGTACTTTGTGGGAATGTAAATTGGTGCAGCTACTATGGAAAACAATATGGAGGTTCCTCAAAAGATTAAAAATAGAATTACCATTTGATCCAGTGATCCCTTTTCTGGGTATATAGCCAACAGAAGTGAAATCTAGATCTCAAAGAGATAGTTGATAGTTGAACGCACTCCCACGTTCCTTGCAGCATTATTCATGATCACCAAGGCATGGAAACAAATGTCCATTGATATACAAATGGATAAAGAAAATGTGGTATGTACATAAGGTGTAATATTATTTAGCCTTGGAAAAAGAAGGGAATTCTGCCATTTGCAACAACATAGATGGACCTTGAGGGCATTATGCTAAGTGAAATAAGCCAGAAAAAGAAGTTATGTGTGGAATCTAAAATAGCCAAACTCATAGAAGCAGAGACAGAATGGGGATTGCCAAAGGCTGGGGGAGGGGAACATGAGGAGGTGTTGGTTAAAGGTTACCAAGTTTCAGTTATGCAAAATAAGTTCTGGAGATCTATTGCTAAGAGGGGGAAAAAAAAGGCACCAGGGCTGCAGAGCCTCTCTGAGCTTTCTGCAAGGGAGTAGGTATGAGCATTGGTTTTGGATATATGGGTGAGAACAGCTTTTACTCTTCATTTAATTTGAAGGAATGTGGGCTCTAAAATCGGGAATGTGAGCTCTAAAATCGGACAGAACTAAATTGTACCATTCATGAGCTGTTTACTGCAAGTTTTTTAACCTTAGTCTTTTTTTTTTAAACATGATTATTGTGAAAATTGAATAATGTAATGTGGTAAAAAGTTCTCAGCACAACTAGCTGTAATACAATAACTAGTTAAAAAATTTTAGTAGTAAAATTAATATAAGTTAACTTAGATCTGAGTACTTTCAAGCCTACTGAAATTAGACTAGCAAGTCACCAGCAGTGGCACATAGCTAGACTTGGTAGCCTGCCACAGGGGATATGCATAAACACATGGGACATTACTAGATATCCGGAGAAGGATATACAGATACATTCTCAGATTTGTTAGTAAAACTTTAGTAAAACAGTTTCTTTAAAAAAGAAAAAAGTTATCTAGTAATAATATCAGCATCCAGTTGCTAGGAATTGTCTATGCATTATTTTCCTTTGTGTGATAAGATGCTGTTGCCAGACATGTGACCCATCATTCTATCCAAATGGTGTGAATAAGAATACCCTTGCTGCTGCAGCTGCTGAATGCATAGAAGTTGCTGGGGTGACCAGACAGTCCTTTGTGTTGCTACTCTATTTACAGCTGTGCTTTAGTATATGCCACAAATAGCTCAGTGACCTGCATTTGACCCCATGGTCAGCGTTTCCTCAGTGAATCTTTGTGACTGTGATATTTGTCTCTACTTCATTGATTTGGGTTTGAAATTTCAGTAGTACTTTTGAGGCTGCTTGGCCAATATTTGAGTACAGTGACACTTAGGTGTAGCCCCATGGTCCCAAAAGCCAGTAATCCTTTAGCCAGGATTTACTAAAACAAAGCTTACCTCGCATTTGACTGTATAATGGTTTGACATTAGTTCAGAACAAATACAGTGAATGTCTGCCATGTATCAGGTGCCATTAAAGATGATAAATTCTATTTTCAATCAGTAATTATATTGCAATGAAGTAAAAGCCTTGAAGAAAGATATCCTATGGCTGATGTGTGATTATCCCGTTAGTGTCTGGGGAAGATGGTAAATTTAAAACAGGAAATGGTTCGCTGGCACAAAGGTGGCTGTTTCTGAGCCAGTGGTGCACCCACTGCAGTGGAGAATCCATGTTTAAGGCACTAATACCAGCCCAGGGAAGCAGAGTTGAAAGCAGCAACTGGTCTCCCAAAGGGCTCTCCTGCTGTAGGACTAGCTAGGCAGAAGCCGACAGGGGCACAGCTAAGTGATTAGAGCCCTGCCAGTGACCCGCAATATGCTCAGCATGAAATAAGGAGGGTCATGACATTATCTCCCCAACGTCCTTGCATGATTCCCTCACTCCACTTTGGAACTCAAAGGGCTTGGGCAAGGCTCAAGCCTCAGCAATTCAGCTATGGGGACTGTAACACCATAGCTGGGGACTGTGGAAATACTGTCCATGGCAATTGATGGGACATCCTTCAGGGAAAAATCCCTAATAATGGTCATTCTTTTTTTTTTTTTTTTTTTCTTTGCGGTACGCGGGCCTCTCACTGTTGTGGCCTCTCCTGTTGCGGAGCACAGGCTCCGGACGCACAGGCTCAGTGGCCATGGCTCACGGGCCCAGCTGCTCCACGGCATGTGGGATCTTCCCGGACCGGGACATGAACCCGTGTCCCCTGCATCGGCAGGCGGACTCTCAACCACTGCGCCACCAGGGAAGCCCCGTGAAGGGTCATTCTTACCAGTGTTACATTTTTGGAGCCACTGTTATATCTTAACCCGACTTCTTTTGCCCAGAACCTAGCTCTTAAGTTCATCTTAAGATTTTCTTGGGTGTCCAGAGTTTTGCTGTCTCATGTGTTACAGCTTCCATTTACTCTCTAGAAAGCCACCCTTGATGACATCCTATTTAGAAGCTTTTTGACTATTTCTTTTTCTCTTAATTGTCTCGTACAAATTTGTGTGCATCAGAATCACCTGGAGGCTTTATTACAACACGGATTGCTGGGCATTTCTGTCAAGTTCCCTGGTCATGGTTGCTCGTCTAGAGACCACATTTTGAGAATCACTGGTCTTAACAGGAAGAGGAAAAAAAGATCTAACAGTCTGATATACTGTGCTACGTGAAAGTTCTGCGATAGCTTAAATGAGCATATGAAAGGATTAAAGAGGTTTACTGTGACCCTGTTTAACACCTATTAAGATCCTGACACTCTAGTATTTCCTAGCTACAGCTTGCTCCTAGTAACTGCTCAACATTTATTACAGGCAAACAATTTGTATCAGGCAACTGCGAGAAGAGCAAAACCTCTAGATGAGATAAATAATACAGTTTATTTCTATTGAATCTTTCCTATGTCCTATTTTCTTTCCACTTATTTTTTTCTAGAAGTGGGATAGAGGGGGAAAATTCAGATTAATTAAAAGTTTGAGTCAAAGCACCGACACAGTTGTAGAGAAGACTGGAGGAGGAAGGCGATAGTAACGGAGTGAGGGAAACGCTGACACGCTGGCTGTAGCACAATTCAAGTTTATTCCATTTGTTCTTGCAACACAAAACTTCAACACAATATTATTTAGCATTCTGATGTACATGAACTAGGATAATATGAGAAACCCAATTGTGTCAAACGCATTACATTGTGGAAAAAATGAACTCAAATATATCAAAATGCACAAAGCACTAGTCTTCCTCCATTACTGCTTAGAAAGATATGATTGTTTCTCCATTTACAAAATAGAATCAGGACAATTTAAATTTTTTAAAATTTTGCATGCAAAACACTGCAGTTACTTATGCAGGAGGGCACTCTCACCAGCTGCTTCTATACACAATCGAGTATACAGTATTGCATGGAAGAAAACAGCAGCTCAGTTGAAGATTTAGGGGAAAAAAATCAAATAGGTACATATAGATTTGAAATCCATTATTTGGGGGAAAGAAATCAATGAATCAAGGGCGTACTTGCTGGCAGCTTCCACTCACTGCACCCACCTACCTCTCCTTCATGCCCCACTGGGTTTAGAAGGTGAGCTGTGAACTACTGCATCGATTCTCGTGCCGTAGCTCAACTGTAAGTCTACAGATACCAGTCTGAAGCTGCAAGGGGGAATCTGTTAGTATACTAATGTAAACAGGTAAACCACCTGTTTTCACTTGATACAGTGCATACGATATGACTGACTTAATACAAAACTACAGAACATGCAAGATTTTTTCTGAGATGTTAAGTATTACTTCAGTGGAGAACAAAACTTACTTAATCTTTTACTAATGCATGTAGTACCAAAAAGCAGACAAGGTTTTAGCTTCCTTTAGTCAAAATATGAACATTAAGTGTTGTGAATTTCTCTGCCAAGTGGTTCAGAAATACATTATAAATAACCTAGTTAAAAAAAAGAAACTAAACCATCTTGGTCAGTCTATTCTGTTTATCTGTTATTTTCTCAAGCAACTGCTTCATAATTATGGGGTTTACAAAATGGCTGAGAAAGAAGAGGGAAGGCAGAGTAGCCTCTACTGCGTTACAAGGAACATGAGGATAAACTGTACACAGAATCACGTGGTCTCCAGACCAGGTGACTGTGGAAGCAGACCAGGTTTAGGAATGACAGGACAGTGCACTCTCTGCAGCAGCCAACTACAAAAAATACTTTGAGAGTAAAGGTAAAACTGCGTAGAGAGTAAAATCCAAGCCTTTTAAACAGCAGTATGCCAAGAAGTAGAAACAGAGATATCAAAACAGCTTGTCACTACGCTGACAGTTACAGTCTGATAGAGTGCCCTCCATCTTCAGTGAGGATAGCTCTGTGTTTCAGTTCAGTGATGTTATGAAGTACTGATTACCGACTTTTAATCCAACTCTAATAAATAGGCTGCATTAAGACAGCAGAATTAGCCAAATGTATCAAAGTATTTAAACCAGCATTTTGTGATTGTTTTCTTGGATGCAGGAAAATTACAGGGTTAGGCTAGTTTTAAGTGAAAAAGCCACAGGATAAAAAAAGGGTTCATGGGGAGAAATACACACACACAAACCCACACACCAACCAACCAATCAGCAAGTGGTCAGTAAGACTTGTTGGCCAGGCTGACTGTTCTTGGTACTAGTTTAACCCTGCTGTAGAATGCTACATTGCCTTAAAAAATCATCATTAATTCTTTGTTATCCACAATCTGAATACAAGTCCCTCACCCACCCTCCCCCGTTTTAAAAATTTGAGGTACATTCAATTATTGCATGACATGGCTAAGGAAAAACCCTTATATTTTTAGTAAGCTTATACGGATGGCAAGTCAAAGGAATCTTAATATTTTATATGCAGGACAGCAAATTTAAGGATATATGTTTTAATTAGCTGTACTGCTCATGAAATAAACATTAGAAAATGTGTCTAAATATTTTCTGCAGGTCCCAAGAACACCATTTTAGGGCACTGTATTTTAAGAACACAGAATACAATTTGAAGTTCTCACATTTTATGCAATGCATAATATAGAAAAGAAAAAATATATATTATGCAGGTGGGATGGCATACATTCAGCAGAAGCCTATCAACACCTCAGGGAAACTTGGTAACACGCATATTTTTAAGGGATGGGGTTAAATTTGTCCAAACAGTAAATCTCACCCCAGTGATAGCTTTGGTGCAATAAGTAATCAGCATCCAGGATGGGTCTGAGAGAGGCATTCCAAAGAATGTTCCTTGATTCTCCAAACACAACTGAGGCCAATCCATTCAAATAGCAAATGAAGGAAATCCATAGGTACTAAGACAACTGTTCTCTCTTATGATACTAACAGGCTTATGGCTATGATTCTATTTTTAAATCCCCTTTTACTACCAGCAGGAGTTTGAAAGTGTTTTCAATGTTCTATAAATGTCTGAATCTAGAGGAAAAAAAATATGCATACTGGAATGATTTCTCCTTTAGACTTCCAAAATTTTGAGATTTTATAAATAAAACTAGTCAGTTTTATCTAAAGATACATGAAATCCATGTGAAGGGGGAGAGGAAATCCAAAGTTCAGCCGCCCAGCAGTTTAGGAGTGTGCCCCTCCTCGCCTTAAATGAGCTTTCACATAAAGCTGGAAGTCACCGAGGGAAGATTTGGTCACCAACCACAGGCAGCGCTCTTAACTATGCCGGGAGATCCCCACTAGAGTGAATCTTAAGGCAGAAGGCTAGAGCTAATTGCTTATCTCAGCACCCTAAGTTACGTCACAGCAGCCACTACTGCTCGCACAGATGGGGCTACCAAATGTATAGTTGGCCTTGGTAGAGTCAGACCCTCAATGCAATCTAATTAATAAATTAGCCAGGGAGCTGAAAAGGTCAAACGTTAATGGTATATTTTGTCTTTGCTCTCCCATGGGTATAAGCTGTGTTTTTTTTTACTGGAAATGGAAAAGAGGCTAACCTGATCAGGAATCCTAGTAAAAGCCTGATCTTGTTTTTCTCCTCTCCTCCCAAACATTGTTTTTTTCTGGTAGTCTGATTTGTTATGAATTTCTCTCTCCCCTCACCCCTCTAGAAGTATTTTAGCTGAAGAAGCTGGCAGATAGAGAGTGACAGACAGACAGGCAGCAGTGTGAGGCCACAGGAGAGTCATTCTTCCAGAGCTGTTAGCCCATCCGTCCATCACTGAAGAAGGGCTTTGATTGCCTGGTTGTCAGTGGCTTCAAAGGCAGTCAGTCCATCTGGACCTTTCACAGTCTTATCAGCACCCTGGAAAAGAGGAAAGAGCCTTTATCATTAAACGACGCCCACAACCAGGAGAAGAGAGTGAAAGCCAGGGCGCTTGGCAGAGGCAAAACTCCTTTACTACCGGAGTCCATTCTAGTGAAGGAAAAGCCCCGAACAGCTGGCAAGGTTAGAGACTAAGCTGTAAAAACACCAGATTATTTTTCAGGCACTAGAAATGTAAACTAGAAACACAACTTGCCAATAACATAGGCAATGACTGACTTTTATTTATACTATCATATATTTACTCAATTAAGCTTTAAAAAAGAAGATCCCTATGTAGTATAAAACAGGGAGGGTTGGGAAGGAAATCACTTTTGCTAAAGAAGAAAGTATTACTGCGACAAAATTATCTTTTTTTCTTCCTTGCAACACTTTTTGGAGAGTGCATAAGTAATACACACATTTGTAAAATCTAGAACTTACAAACCTTTTATTTTAGACAAATTCCTAAAGAACATGTACAATATTGGTCATCATACTTACAAAAACTTAGCAGTAAATGGCTGGGATGTGGGCTAGGAAAGGAGGGTACCTGCTATCATCTAGGGAAATTCTCTCCAGCTTGCTCTCAATGCTTCATGCAGAGAGTGCTGTCATGGAACATTTTACTTGCAACATGGCACTCTAGTTTCGAGAATGTGTACGCATACCTTTGTGTCTATTGTTTTTATCTGTCTTCCCTTATTAGAGTAAAAACTCAATGGGAGTAGAAACCTTGTTCATATTATCCACTATTGTGTCCCCAGTATCTAAAAAAGTACCTAGTGCATGGTGGGTGAATTTGCTCCCAAACCAAGTCTGAACCTCTCTAACTTCCACAGATAGCATGGAAAGGTTCTCTGCTAGCTCCAGCCCAACCTGTATTTATTCACCAAATAACCTCTTGTGTCCTGTCCTCCTCCCATTGCCAAGTCTCACTCATTCTTCTGTTCCTGAGGCCTATGGAATTGTCTAAACTTGGCATGCATGGTCCTGTAGAGACAAACTCTAGTCAAATTCACCAGTCTCTTTTCCCATTAATCTTTCAATACTCTAATCCTCTGGAATGTCACCATTCCTCAATGTACCAGGTGCCATGACTTTACACTTGTTGGAATATGGAATGTCTTGCCCCCTTTCTGCTGGCAAATCCATTCACTCATTCAACAAATATTTACTGAATGTTTGATGCACAGACACAAAACAAGATAGAGCCTGCCAGTTTGGCTGCTGTGAGAGACAGACAAGTCAACCAGTATGACACAGTGGGATGAGAACAATAGCGTTATGCACAGTGATGAGTGGTCTGTAAACCATAATGGGATGTGGTTAGGAGAGTGTAAGAAAGTCCTTCTGGATGAGGTAATGCTTGAGCTGAGCCTTGAGTAAGTACAAGTTGATTAGGTAAACCAGGAAGGAGATGACAGACATTCTAGCAAGTGTTAAATTATCACAAAGTCCTCCTCAATATGACTATAAGTCTGTTTTCTCTTTTTCTAATTGAATTTAACTGCATTATGGAACATATGGAACTTACAGTTAAGTGAGAGAGAAATCTGTGAGTGAGAACTTCAGTGTGGTGAGTACTCCAACACAGGTTAAGTGACAATAATTGGGACCATTGTATCCAAAACAAATTTTTAAATTTATTTTTTATTGAATTACAATGTTGTGTTAATTACTGCTGTACAGCAAAAGTGACTCAGCTATATACATATACAGTATATATTCTTTTTCATATTCTTTCCATTATGGTTTATCACAGGATATTGAATACAGTTCCCTGTGCTATACAGTAGGACCTTGGTGTTTACCCATTCTATACATAGTAGTTTACATCTGCTAATCCCACATTCCCACTCCTACCCTCTCCCACTGCCCCCCCCACCCCCCTGCCCTGGGGCAACCACCAGTCTATTCTCTATGTCCCTGATTCTGTTTCATAGATAGGTTCATTTGTATCATATTTTAGATTCCACATATAAATCATATGGTATTTGTCCTTCTCTATCATACTAAGTTAAGTAAGTCAGAAAATCTCTAGGTCCATCCATGTTGCTGCAAATGGCATTATTTCGTTCTTTTTTATGGCCGAGTAGTATTCCATTGTATATAGGTACCACATCTTCTTTATTCATCCATCTGTTGATGGACATTTAGGTTGTTTCCATGTCTTGGCTATTGTGAACAGTGCTGCTATGAGCATAGGGGTGGCATGTATCTTTTTGAATTATAGTTTTGTCTGGATATATGCCCAGGAGTGGGACTGCTGGATCATATGGTAATTCTATTTTTAGCAAAACAAATATTGATAAGTGTTTTTATGACTAACATTGTAAACTGTAATTCTGCATTAACAAAAAGTTAAATATCATAGTGAATATCTGTTGCTTTTTAGCTGCCAGACTTCCCTTCTTTTGATAACAGCACCCTAATTTCATTCTGGGGAATCATTTGTCCCCATTGTGTGGACTCCTAGAACTGTAACTTAAGGTGCCATGTACTTTCCTTGCCAGGCATCAAAGCAGGACGCTCACGTCTGGATTTTGAATCTTGATTAGAGAGAACAAAAGAAAGACAACAAGAAGTCAGAGCTCATTTATTTCTGTGTTATCACCCAGAAGAGACAGTTGAGAAGTTCCTGCTATCTAGAGTCTTACAGCTACCATAGCTCTGGCCTCTTCTGAGCCTGGTCCTCCAGCTTTCCTATTGATTCTCTGACTAGTCCAACATCTTCAGAAATTCCTTTTCTACTTGTTAGAGTCAACTTCTGCTATATGCAACCCCAAAAATCTGATAAAAGTATTAAAAATTTTATATAAATCATCTTTTTTTTCTAATTGTAATACAAACTAATCACAGAACTCAGAATACACACCAAAAAACTCCCGGTAAAAAGAATTCCATTGATAATAGCATCAAAAAGAATAAAATGTTAGGAATAAAGTTAATGAACTCAAACCAGTTCTTCTAAAAAAGATAAACCAATTTTGTCAACGTGGAAAAGGATATTAAAAGAAAATGATTTTTTGATACTTGATGCAGTTATTGGAGAACTTAAGTATATCTGGCCTCACCCCTTTCCTGAGGAAACCATTTTCAGTAGTTCTTAGTTCTAGTGATTATCTCCGTGGCTCTAAGTACTATACTCATGCCACTATTTGAGTTATTAACTTCAGAGATTACCTTCTGACTCCTGCTGCATGGATGCTGCCCTAGCAGGGAGCACATCCCTTCCCCACATCCTCCCAATGTCTTATACTTCAAATAGCAGTTTCTGTTTCTTTGTAAATATGTTTGTATTTAAAACCTGTTTCTTGTTCCATCAAATTCCTCTACTTTATAAGATACTTTCTCTACCTTCCCATTACTCCCTCTACCTCTTAAATTGCCAGCTTCTCTATTTTGTCAAGATTAACTTTTATATTCGGTTCTGTAAAAACTGTTGTTTATTGATTGATTTTTTCCTCCTATAGTCACCATAGTGTTTATTATATCCCCAAGACTTACTTATCTTATAAATGGAAGTTTCTACCTTTTGACCACCTTTACCCATTCCTCGCCCCCCCATCTGTTTTCTGTCACCTGTGAATTTTGAGACTCTTCATGTAAGTGAGGTAATACAGTATTTGTCTTTCTCTGATTTATCTCACTTAGCATAATGCCCTCAAGGTCATCCATGTTGTTGCAAATGGCAGGACTTTCTTCTTTTTTTAATAGCTAAATAATAATCCACTGCATTATGTGTGCATATGTGTGTGTGTATATACACACCCACACACCCACCCCATTTTATTTATCCATGCATCTGTTGATAGACACTTAGGTTATTTTCCTGTCTTGGCTACAGTAAATAATGCTGCAGTGAACACAAGGTGTAGATAACTTTTTGAGTTAGGATTTTTGTTTCCTTCAGATAAACCCCCAGAAGTAAAATTGCTGGATCACATGGCAGTCCTATTTTTAATTTCTTAAGGAACCTCCATACTGTCTTCCACAGAGACTGCACCAATTTATATCCCCTCCAATAGTGCACAAGGGTTCCCTTTATTCCACATCCTTGCCAACACTTATTATTTCTTATATCTTTGGTAGCAGCCATTCTCATAGGTAAGAGGTGACAATTCATTGTGGTTTTGATTTGTATTTGCCTGATGATTAGTGACGTTGAGGAACCTTTTTATGTATCTGTTGGCCATCTGTATATCTTCTTTGTATAAATGTCTATTCAGATCCTCTGCCCATTTTAAAATCAGATTTTTTTTTCTACTGAGTTTTTTTTTCTATTGAGTTATATGAATTCATTATATATTTTGGGTATTATCCCCTTATCAGATACATGGTTTGCAAATATTTTTCTCCCATTCTATAGGCGGCCTTTTCATTTTGTTGATGGTTTCCTTTGCCTTTAGTGTCAAATTCAAAAACTCATCACAAAGACGAATGTCGAAGAGCTTACTATCTATGTTTTTCTCTAGGAGTTCCATGGTTTCAGGTCTTATTTTAAAGTCTTTAATTCATTTTGAGTCGATTTTTGTGTATGGTGTAAGATAGTGGTCCAGTTTCATTCTTTTGCATGTGCCTGTCCACTTTTCTCAACAGTATTTCCCTATTATATATTCTTGGCTGCTTTGTGGTAAATTAATTGAGTGTGTGTGTGTGTGTGTGTGTGTGTGTGTGTGTGTGTGTGTGTGTGTGTGTGTGTGTGT